GGAATGATTCTAGACTGAGTCCTCGCTTGACTCCACCTCCACATTCTGCCTCTTGTTCTTCTACAGTATCAGTGAGAGTCACCTGCCAACCAAGTTGACTTCTGCAAGAGCAGAGGTGGCACAGTGGGTAGAGTGCAGTACTGCAGGCCACTTCAGCTGACTGCTAGTTCAGCAGTTCAGCGGTTCAAATCTCACCAGCTCAGGGTTGACTCAGCCTTCCATCCTTCCGAGGTGGGTAAAATGAGGACCCGGATTGTTGTTGGGGGCGATATGCTGACTCTGTAAACCACTTAGAGAGGGCTGAAAGCCCTATGAAGCGGTATATAAGTCTAACTGCTATTGCTATTGCTATTGTACGTGAAGAAAAAGAGTGAAATACTGTGGCCCATAAGTTATGGTAGCACACCATGCTTTCTGGAGTCTACAGAGGTAGATGGTAGATAGCTACTGTGTCATGTTTGTTATTGTGGGGATGTTAGCTCCACATTGTCACTTTTCCAAAAACTGGAAAGGAACCCTTTCAGCAGGTTGGCGCCGAATCTGGGGAAATCAAGGATTCTTTTCAAACTCACTTTTTGGTTGATTCCTGGACAAGTTGGATCCATGTCAGTGTGTGTTGCTCATTATGTAGTTTTGCATAATGAATGGGAGACTTCATTTTTATTAAAGAAGTGTATAAGGATGATGCCAATCAGCCCATTAAGAACTGGGACTGGCAGTAGAAGTAGCAAAGCAGGAGTAAGTAAGAAACACACACAATGTATCCAGTTAGAGGTAGCCCTCTACTTACAACCACAGTTGAGCCCCGAATTTCTGTTGCTAAGGGAGACAAGTGAGTTTTGGCCCGTTTTACGACCTTTCTTGCCACAATTGTTAAGTGAATCACTGCAGTCGTTAAGTTAGTAACACAATTGTTAAGTGAATCTGGCTTCCCTCTTGACTTGGCTTGTCAGAAGTTCGCAAAAAGTGACTACGTGACCCCAGGATTCTGCTCTGGTCATAAATATGAGTCAGTTGGCAGGTGTCCGAATTTTGATTGTGTGACTTTGGGAATGCCACAATGGGTATAAGTGTGAAGAACGGTCATAAATTCCTTTTTTTCCAGTGTCGCTGTAACTTCAGATGGTCATTAAAGTAATGGCTGTAAGTCAAGCACTTTCTGTGAGCAGAAATATATATATATATTTTTCGTATTTTCGTAGGTTTTCACGTGTGTAGGTATGCTGGTCTTGTTGTATTCGGGTCTTTTCCCATGTAAGATTGAGATTGTCTTGGCAACGTTCCAGCGAGGTCTCACTCGCCATCTTCAGGCTACGTTTTGGGCTTAAAGAGTGGTCGGAGCTGCCGTCTTTCTATAAATCTTGGTGTGTGTGTGTTGAGTGCTGGCTTTGTTACAGTAAGTGGAATGATTGATTGTCTGGTTGTATCAGGATTGGTAGATTGGTGCTGATTGGTGCTGGCTGTGTGTCCGTTGCTGTTTCGTGTTGCAACGGCCTGGGCGGTGGGTGGGACTCATTTGTTGACTAGGGCTGGTTTCCAGATGTCTGGTAGGTGGGAGGTATCGTCACATTT